AAGATTGTTTGGGTTATTTGGGGTAAAACTTCATATAAGTTTTAGGATCAGCTTCTCGATTTCTGCACAGAGGCCAGCAGAGCCAACAGCCCTTCAAGGGAGGTGTGGGGGGGTTGAGGCCTAAAGAAGTTCGATAATCTGCTCACGGTGACATGACTGGGGAGAGGCAGACATTGGACTTCAGGGCCACCCTTCTCAGCTCCAGGGGATGCTATCTATGCTTGTCACTTGGAGACAGCTGCATCAAGGCAGTGGCTTTTGGCACAGGGATCTCAGAGTCCAGCTTGTGTCCACTCAGCCCATGAAGGGCCTTCCCTCCCTGCTCCTCCCCAGCCCTCGTCTCAGTCTCTGTCCCCTCCCTGACCCTGCCTGCTCCAAGGTGGTCCAGAGGGACCAGCCCAGGGCAGTACTTATGAGGCCTCTTTGAGGGAGGGCCATGGGTTTACCTGTCCCCTCCCTGACTGTACCTGATCCCAGAATTGAGGACAGGTGYCCACCCTTGGTGGCTTCCGGCTTCACCTGTTTCCAGTCAGTTGCCACCTGTCCCAGCTCCTCTCCAGGAAGACCCCCCCATTCACCACCTCYCACCCTGGGGTCTCCAGTCTCTCCCCTCTGCCTTCCCTCTGTCCACTCTGTCCAGTACTGAGGGTCTGCCACTGGTCCGGCTGRTTGAGGGGGAGGGCTCCAGGTGGAGTGCAGCTGGACTGCTGCCCACTGCCCTGTCCCCACAGCCGCTCACACCCCTCCTGGGTCCTCAGTTGCTGCACCAGTCTCATGGGGGTCTGCAGACCCCTCCCGCAGGTTCTGCCACTCTGACACCTGCCATTCCAGGTGGGTGGGGGTCTCAAACCAGCACCAGCTGCCCTTGGCCGCTGGCCCCTCACATGAGGAGACAGAGCAGGCAGTTGGAGAAGCCACTTTCAGGGAGTTGACAGAGGCCTGGTCCCCCACCCTGTGCCTCTAACTGAACACTCAGACCAGTCTTGACCAATAATAGGGGTGAGGCCCCTAAACAGGTCCCAGCTCAGGAACTGGGGACACTCTGCCTCCTGCAGTCCACCAGCCACCCCCTGCTGCTATGTCCCCAACCTTCACCATGAGGGCCACCAGGTGGCGTTTTCCTGCCTCCTGGCTCCCCAGCTCTCAGCTCCCAGCTGTCCTCCTCGTGCTCCTGTGGTCATTTTAAAACACCAAAAAAAAAAAAAAAAAAAAGAAAGAAAGAAACAAAACACATGTGTCCGCGTTCTTCGGCATCCCCTCAAATGGTGGGATCTAATTCCCCTCAAATTCCCTGAATATGGCCAGCCTTGGTGATTAAGGTTAGACATGATGGTGCACTTTCCTCCTGGCTCTCGCCCCCAGGACACCCTCCTTAGGAGGGTGTGTCCGTGTAGGCCCCTGTGACAGCCATTCCAGCCGCCCACTGGACCTGGGCCTGTGGAGACTTCAGATGGCTCCTGCCCCGGCCTCATGCCTCCCTGACTGGTGCTGAGTGGAGCAGAGACCGCTGTCCCCAGAGCCCTGCCCACGGCTAGAAGGCAAAGGAAGTGTATGAAGTCACTGGGGTTTGGGGCAGTTGTTTGGGGGCCTTGGAGGAGCAGGGCACGTTGCCAGACCTAGATGCCCAAAGAGGGTGTGGGGGGGCTYGCCAGCCTCAGCCTCTGGGCTCTTTGCCACCTCAGGGCCACTCCCCTCCTCCTCCCAGCTTTCCTGCCTTAGCAGGGCAGCCCAGTGGGGGCAGGAACAGGCCTGGCCACAGTTGCATGTGACTTGTGTGCACATCTCAGAGGACCATGTTGGGGTGGTTTCTAAAGGTCTCTGGGCATCTTTCTGATGGCAGTGCTAGCGTCTTGGACTTTTTGAGGAGGTGGCTCTGGGGGGGACTCCCACCCATCTCCCCTCTGCCGGGGCCAGACCTTCCCTGGGATAATAAGGGGAAGGGGGGACACTCCTTGGAGACTCAGCACAGACAGCACACGGGCCTGGGGCTTCTCTTGCTTGGTCCAGTGTCCATCCCCAACACTATCACTGTGGCCCCCTGTCCTGCAGGTCTCTTCCAGAAGTGCCGGGCCAGAGGCTTTCCCTGTGCTCCATTCCTACACCACCACCACCAAAAGCATCCCTTCAGGAGCAGACTCTTGATCTCCACTGAAATTCCACAAAGAGTCCAAAACAGGACAGGTAAACCTGAGGAAGGTGGGAGGGGAGAGTGACAACCGCCCCCCACCCCATGAAGCTTCCCACACCCCAGCCACAGCGGGGATGTCACTTTATAAACCACCATCCTAGTATGTTCCTCTGCAAAGGTGTTTTGGGGGGAGAACTTGACTCCCACAGTTGCAGAGCTCCCCAGGAGTGAGGTCTGGCTTTCCACTTCAGTAGCAGCTGCTTTACGTCCTTGCCTCCTACTAGGCTTGGGGTCAGCTCAGACCTTCAGATCTTGGTCAGCATGACTACCATCAAGCCAGGCCTCCCCTGGCCTCTGGCCAATCTCAGCAATCCTGGACACCTGACTTCAGGAACCTGGACCAAGCGGACAGTGGAGGAATGGTGAGGCCTCCCCCAGTGGTCCCGGCTGTGTGCCCTGGAAAAAGTCWCTGGGTCAGCCTCATTTTCCTCCTGTTTAGGATGGGAAGGAAAGCCTCTCATAGACAACACCTGGAAAACACACAGCCCTCCCAGCSCTGTCCAGGAGGCTCAGTCCTGGGCGGCTTTTACCTTGCAGTCTCAGCGTGCTCACTGGGGGCTAAGGAGACTGTCAGCAGGCAGACCCTGGAACCAGGCAGCCTGGCCTGGACAAAGGCTTGGGGCGTGCCCCTATCTGGGTGGAGGAGATTTGGCTCTTTCTGTCCCTCTCTTCCCTTTTTTTTTTTTTTTGATACCAGGGATGGAACCTAGGGGTGCTTAACCACTGAGCCACATCCCCAGTCACCCCTTTTGTTTGTGGTGCTGGGGATTGAACCCAGGGCCTTGTGCCTGCAAGGTAAACACTCTACCAACTGAGCTGTGTCCCCAGCCCTCTTCTGTATTTTATTAGAGACAGGCTTGCTGAGGCCAGCTTTGAACTCGAGATCCGCCTGTCTCAGCCCCCAGAGTCGCTGGGATTCCAGGTGTGCGCCACCACACCTGGCTCCTCTCTTCCCTTTCTTGATTTCAGGTCTGGAATTTGAAGCCAGACAGTCACTAGGGTGTCTACCCCGAAAGGCAGCACCAGGTCCCACGGCCTGCCTGGCCATCGGAGATAACCTGGTGAGTGCCTGTCATGATGCACGGGGCTCTGCCGTCATCCTCTCAAGCTCTGACCCCATGGGTGGGGGGGGGTAGGAGTGGGTGGGTGTCTGGCCTACCCAGCATGCCCACCCCTCCCAAGGGGGCTGACAGCCACTAACACACTCAAGTTCACTTTGGCAACAGGACTTTTATTCAGTCAAAATGAGTAGTGTGTGACAAAACCCAAGTCAGGCCGGGTGGCCCAGCCCCACCCTCCCCAGGGGAGAGGGGGCTCCAGAAGGAAGTCTCTGCGCAGACAGGGGACTGCTTCAGAGCCCCGGGGCCTGGCACTGCCCTCTCCCTCCCTGGGGAGGGAGGACCACCCTTCTCGAGTCCACAGGACACTACTCTAGTTTCCTAGGAAAACACCACGAATTCTACCTTCTTCGGCTAATGAACTAAATTTCAGGGTGGGGTGTCCCTAGAGGGTGGGGGTCAAAGGACTTTAGGTTCTAGTCTCATTCTTCAGGAATACACGTATCTTTTATTTATTTAAAAAAAAAGTTCTTCTATTTAAAAAAATGTTTCTGAGTGTAACCAAAAATAGGTATTTGTTTCCTTGGTTTTTCTTCTTCTTCACCTTAGTAGTTCACAACAGAAAGGAAAAGTCACAAGGGCCCTTAGACACACCTCCATCAAAACACCTCCCGGCCACACCTGCTGACAGAGGGGGTCCAGGGCCCCCGGAGGGTCAGCCGCTGGCCTGCCACACCGAGGGCTGGGGACCTGGCCAGAGACGCGCCCCCCACCACAGGCACTGCACCTCCGGGGGCCAGGCTGCCCCAGGAGGAAGGACAGGACGCAGGCTGTGGCTATGGGTGACATTCCACCTCCCCAGGCCCAGGTGGAGAGGGTCGTTGGGGATCCCCAGGGGGGACAGGTGTGCCAAGAGGGTAACAGCGCGTGGGCAGGAGGCAGGCGATGGCAGCTGCTGGGAGGTGGCTAGTTTGGGACAACAATTTACATTTCGAGGAATCCATTTCCTCTCATTTTTGGCTTTTTTCACATTTTTCCCTCTGACCAGTTCCCTCTTCGTTTCTGTAGGCCCCATGGGTCGCTGGGCCCAGGCCTCCTCTTGGGGGAGGCAGTGGGGCAGTGGGCAGAGCAGAGGCCGGGCAAAGCAGAGGCCGGGCAGAGGGTCCAGGGCGCAGGCCCCGGAGCCAGAGCCTTGAGGTAGACATTTTCTTTCACACCTGGAAATGGGGACGTGCTTTTTTTTTTTTTTTTTTCTTTCTTAACTCTGGACAACACGTGGGGAGGGAGGGGTGCCCGGGAGGGGCTTGAGGTAGGTGCATCCGGGTTCTGTGGGGCAGGGACTAGGCCACCACCCCACTCCCCCGAGGACATTCATTCCGGCTGAGGTAGGTGCTGAGCCAAAGGGCAGAACTCGGTCCTGAGAAGACAAGGGAGCAGGGCGCACGGCCGGCCGGGGGGCTCTGAGTCTAGTTCACCTTCCTCTCGCTTCCGTTTAAGGGACGCCAGCCGCCCAGAGCCCAGGCAGGTGGGGACCAGGCAGCAGCCAGGGTGTCAGTCTGAGGAGGGAAGGCTCCCTAGGGCCCCTCCAGCTCCAGGGTCCCTGCCGAGGCCCCTTAGGCCTGGCCCACCCCGGCCTCCAGTCAGGACAGAAGTGCTGGGCAGCCCAGGGCCACCTGAAGCCCACATAACAGGAGAACTCTTGCCTTCGACCTGAGAACGGGGGGCTACCCCCTGCAGAGCCTGCCAGGCCCTGGCTACTGTCCGGAGTGAGCTGGCTGGGCAGCGGGTGCCTCAGAAAGCTGGGTCACCTGTCCCTCTCCAAGGAGGTGGGGGCCACTGTCCAGGGGCAACGGGGCAGCCACAGGGCCTGTGCAGGGAGTCTTGGCCTCTGTCGCCCTCCTGTCCAGAGGGCCAAACCCCTGCAGTGGCAGCGTGGAGAGCTGGGTCTCCTCACACGGGACAGGGGCTGTGGGATCCTGCTGGGGAAAGGAAGCATACAGGGTCAGCAGGAGGACCCAGGCAGGACCCACAGACCCCCCAGGGCCGGGCTCAGGCTCCATCCCACCCCTGGGCTTAGACCTCAGGCCTCTGCCCGACAGGGGTGCAGAGGAGCATGGCCAGGACTTCTGTGCCCAGAGAAGACCCAGAGTTTGGCTAAGGCCAATGACCAAGGCCAAGATGAGCTGGGGCAGGGTGGGAGAGTGGTCAGGGTCGAAGGAGCTTCTCTGGCACTCACAGTGGGCCTGGCGCCAGATGGCCCCACCACCCCGGCTGGGGGGAACAGCTGCTCCAGCTCCTTGGCGTCCATGCACTTCTCACCTCGGCCCAGCTGGCCTCGCTCTCCACGGCCCACCCCATTCAGGGCCAGGATGCCAGGGTCCCTCTGGCTCCGGGGACCCTGGGGAGGGGAGAGCTGGTTTTCCACATCCTTACACAGGAGGACCCTAAAGGGTAAGCAGAATTAGGGGACRCCAGGGCAGGAGTCCCAAGGGCTGAGCCTCCACCCCAGCCAGCCTCTTGCCCTTCCCAGTACCCACCTGCCCCTTTGACCAAACAGCAGGAAGAGGACACAGAAGATGATGCAGGTGACCCCGATGTGGATGCCAATGACAATGCCTGTGGTGGACGTCTGGTTGGTGGCATCCTCTTTCCGACAGTCACACGGTGGGCTCAGAGCTAATGGGAAGGGGAAGGCTGGGGCTGCAGCTCTCCCGGCCTGGAGTACCCCCATACACCCAGCCTCTGGGGCTCCTTCTCCCTCAACCAGGCCCTCCACTTCACTTATGTGACACCAGCCCAACCTTTCCAGTTCTTTCTACCAGCTACTGAGCACCAACCCTGGGCCAGATACTGGGAATAGCACTTTGCCATGGCTTTTAAGACAGGCTTTATTATGCCTGTTTGTACAGGAAAAAACTGTGTTTCAGAGAGGGTAAGTAGTTTGACCAATATCACACAGAATGCCACACAGCCAGCTTCCCACAGGTCTGAACCTGTGTGCTTACAGGCTTACACCCTCCTACCTGGCCTGCTTCCCTCCCCCTCAGGCCCTGTCCTCCTTCCTTCAGGCCAATGTAGCTCTACCGCCGGTCCCAGCCCTCACCTGTCCTCTCAGACGCTCCCCTCAAAGACACAAAGCGGACAGTGGCGTTGCTGTCCCCGTGCTGGTTGTAGGCGAGCAGCTTTACCTCGTACACCACCCTGGGGTCTGGGGGTTGGAGGCTGTGAGAAACTGCCCCCCAGCCAGCTCCATCCTGGCAGGGTGCGGGGAGGTGACTCCTACCACACCACCTCCTCCCTGCCCAGCCCCAAGCCTCACCCAGCCGGCTGAGGTTGTAGGAGGACACAGTTCCAGGCAGCAGGATGGGACCAGTAAAGGAGGCCTTGCTGGCAGGGCGGTAGAAGAGCTTGAAGCCACCCTCATGCTGGGCCAGCCGGGGCCAGGGCTCCCACAGCAGCTGCAGGGAGGAACTGCCCAGGACCCGCACGGACAGTGGCGGGGGGGCAGGAGCTAAAGGCAGAGGAGGCCAAGATGTGAGGGCTTCATCAAAACTTTCTGTCTGTGGTTTTGTACTCTACACCCAGTCTCACCTTCACCCAGGGTGCTGGCCAGGGTGGGCATGGAGGCTGAGCTGGCCCCCCTTGGTGTGTARGCCTTGATGTAGAAGCTGTAGGCTGTAGAGGGCTCAAGGTCGCCCACCAGGTGCTGAAAGGTACTCTTACTGACTGCTTCCTGATACTCCAGTTCTGGAGGGTCTGGGGAGGCAAAGCGCAGGGCAGGGGGTGGGGTGAGGAACAAGAGGCAACCTTGCCAACACCTGTGAAGTGAGGGCAGTGGGGATGCAGTGGGGGAAGGAGAGGGGGGTGCTCTCCGGGACACTCATGGTAGAAAGGGATGGGAAACAATGGTGTGGGGGTGCAAAGCTGGTTGTGCCCCCCAGGCCCACCCACCGGCCGCCTTCCTGATGTGCAGGACGTAGCCGATGATCTCCTTGGTGTTGACCATGGGCTCGCTCCAGGACACACGGACCTCAGTGGACGACACAGAGACAGCCTGGACATTGCGAGGGGGCCCAGGCAGGCCCTCGGCCCACAGCACGGTCAGCCTGGCACTGGCCTGTGACGAGCCAGCACTGTTCTCGGCCACACACTGGTAGATAGCCTCATCTTCAGGACCGATTCCAGAAATGGTCAGTGTGCTGCAAGGAGAGGAGAGCCTCAGGTCCCCTCCTGAGAGGGATGGAGAAACTGGGTCCCTTTAGATAAGCAGCTTGTCTGACTGAGGTTTCCCAGGGACGTGAACCTGAGTCTCCGGTCCCAGTGTCGTGCTCTTCCCCAGCGGGGCTGCACAGCCTACTAGGCCACTACTCAGGCCCCTTCCCTCTCCTTCCCCAGTCCTCTCCCCAACAGTGTGCACATTTGAACACTCACACACAAACACACACACACACACACACACACACACACACACACCTGTTATTGTTCTTGAGCCTGACATGGCCTCCTGGCCCCAGCACTTGGCCATTCTTCAACCACGTGACATGAGGGGGCGGCTCACCCTGGGCTTGGCAGGTGAACATGGCTGTGGTTCCAGCCGGCCTGGAGATGGACTGGGGATGCTGGACAAACTCCGCTGGGGCTGGGTGGGCACAGAGGAGCATTGAGTGGTGAGAGCCAGGTAGAGAGGGGAGAGACAGCTGCCCGTCAAGGGCTGGGGAGGCAGCCGGGGGCTGAGGTGGGCTGGGACACTCATGGCCCCCTGGAGACTCCCCATGTGGCTAACAGGACCCCAGCCTCCCTCCCTCCTTCCTCTACCCTGGCAGACCCAAGAGAGGACTCCATTGTAACCACTACTCAAAAGACTGACATTTGTATCCGAAAGCAATCAAGCTGAGCTCCCAGTTCAGGAAATTGTTAAATAAATAAATGTGCTAATAGGTTTGGCTGCACCTCGGAGGCAGTAATGACGGGGAGATGGATGAGCCCTCTGAACGGCCCCCCAGCCCCACACTCCATTCCGCTCTCCTCCAATCCCAAGCCTCAGGCCTCTATTAACACCCGGGAAATGAAATGCTCCCTCACTTTCATCTGGACAGATTAACGGCACATGGAATGCTAAACAAGCGGCATTTAAGTTCCTAATTCCCCCATTTCCCATCCCTTCTGCTCTCAAGGAGGGAACAACCACTCCTGAATGGAGATCCAAGCCCAGGTCCCGGGGACAGCGGAGCCCCAGGGCTGGGACGGAGGGCTGACCTGGTCAGCGGCAGGGGCCCCGAGCCCTGGGCGCCCAGGCCGCTCTGCGCATGCGGCGGGCGCTGACGTGCACGTGTGAAAATGACAGTCGCGCAGGGAGCYGCAGGCAGGCAGGTGTGAGCGTGTTAGTGCCACACGTGTGAATAAGAACGGCACGTGGGGGGCGCGTGAGCGAGGTGGGGGGGTGGCCAGCGGGACTCCAGGGAGGAGGGGGCACATGGGCTGCACCACCGAGGGCGTCCCCCAGACTCCCAAGAGCTGCTGCCGGGAGCTGGTGAGTGGCAAGGGACAGGGCATAAGTGGGTACAGGGTGACATGGGATGCTGAAGCGGCAGGACTGGGCAGGGGAGGGACAGGAGGAGGGGCAGTGCGGAGGGCGCCCCCTTCCGGCGAGGCTGGTCCCTACCTTGTACCACCAGCCGGCCCTGGGCGGTTCTCCTCACCCGGGTGCCCGGCCTATTGGCTGCACAGACGTAGACCCCCGAGTGCTGGACTGTCACGTCTGAGATGATGAGGTTTCCCGTGCCCAGCACCTGGATGCCCTCTACCCCAATGGGGCGGCCATCTGAGAAGGAAGTGGGGGAGGGGAGGCACAGGAACATTCCAGAGGGTCCACCCTTCCATCAGTCTTCTCCAGAGCCCTCATCTTGGCTTGACACCCCCGTCTGCTGCCCCCAGAGGTGGCAGAGAGCAGGCCAGTGCTCTCGCCCACAGCAGAGTCCAGCATCCTGATTCCACAGTAACTGCTGATTCACTGCTAACCTTCAAGTCCCTTTCCTACTTCTCAGTCCATAAAGGAAGGGCTTTGGATTCCATCAACTTTTCCCAACCTCATTTGTCTCTCTTAAAAAAAAATTCCATGGTCAAATATCCATTCCACTTCTGGATGGTCAGTTTAAATGCCCATTAATATAAAGGCTCTGAGAAGTCCTGCAGTTAAGGGACCTGGTTAACTTTGTTTCCCGAATTTGTTAGGCCACTGAGCGTTCTATCCCTTCTAATCGTGTTTTGGGAAATGCTGGACCAGATGGTTCTGGCAATGCCTACTGGCTCCTGATGGTGAGGCCACTCTTCTCAGCCTCTCCCAGGGACCCAGACCCTCCCCCCACCCCAGGATCAGATTAGCACAGTCAGAACACAAGGAGACAGCTCCCCATTCAGTCCCTGAAGTGGTGAAATCTACTCCATTATCCCGCCTGCTGCCCCCTCCTTCCCTGATCACTCAGCTGCTACAATGTGGCACAGTCTCCTTGTGAATGCGACCCCACCCCACCCCTCCAGAGTTTCCTTCCCCCAGTGACCTCTCTGCTCAGACAATGTGGGCCCATCTGCACCCTTTCATTTCTTCCCTCAGCTGCCTCAGGATTTAGGCTGGGGGGCTAGGGGACCAGGCTAGAGACGGGGAGAGCCCAGAGCCAGGGCTGGATGACTGGCTGAGATTTGGGGAGCTTGGGACTGCACAGCTCAGGGTGCAACAGGGTACAGAGGGCATGAGTGAGTGCAAGAGAAAGGAGACTCTGCGCTGAGGGTTCTGGAGGGCTGAGGCCAGGGCAAAGAGGGGACAGCGCTGGACCGGACGGGGTAACCCAGGGAGCTAAGCCAGCTCTGCACGGGGAGGGAGAATGTAGCGGGCAGGCCTGCGTCCCTGGTCCTGCCAGGAGGGGGAACTCGGCCCCTCCTCAGGTCGCAGGGAGAGGACTGACCCCCACGAGAACAAACAGGAATCAAAGTCCCCCCCAGTGCTGGGCGATGAGACCATGAAACCGCCTCCCAGGGGGTGGGTGGGGGCAGGGTGGAGGCTGTGGGACKAGGCTCACCCAGGCGGCTCCAGGACACAATGGGGCGCGGGTTGCCAGTGGCGACACACTCCAGCACTGCGGTCTGGTGCACCGTCAGGGTGAGGTTCTCAGGCCCCACCAGGATGGTTGGCTCCTTGTAGGCCCCGGAGCCTGAGCCTGGGAGGGAAAGGCCACACTTTCTCACCTACCCACAACCTAGGATAAATCCCACCCGGAAACCAGGTCCTGTGGGCATAGAGATGCCAGGGAACCAGGGCGTCTCGCACATCATTCCCCCAGGCTAGCCCACCCCACAGGACCTTCAGCAATGGGCAAGCCTGGGGATGAGAGGATGGCCCTCCCTGGGAGAATGGAGTCCAGGTGGACCTCCCACCCACCTCCTCCACCACCCTCTGGTCCTCCTCTAGCCACCAGCACTGGGCTTTGAGCTTGGGAGTTGCTCAGCTGGCACCAGGTGGCCCTGGCTCCGGAGGCCAGTTGTGGGACTGAGTTAGGAAGCTGGCAAGGGGAAGAACWGGCAGGCCAAGGGCCCTCACCTGACACAGTGAGCCTGGCCCCATGGCTGATCCGAACACTGGCAATGTTCGAAGCCACACAGTGGAAAACACCACTGTCCTCGGCCCGAAGTCCTGTGATCTGCAGTACTCCCTTAGGCAGCAATGTGTACCTGTTGGAGAGACACAGTTGACCACCAGCACAGCTACTGGCACTGTGGGCCACAGGGACACTGAGCATCAGAGACACAGCCCGGGACCAGGTACTGTGCCAACAACACAATTGTCATCACAGACATGCTGGGACTCTCACAGGCGGGCACCCTCATTCCCAGTATGACAGTCATCACACATAGTCCTCGTGAGCATGTCCATGAGCCTAGAATTGGGGCTGTGCAAGCCACATGGACACCAACCCCAACTGCAGCGGCAGAATCACCCTGGGGGGCTGGCAGCAGCTTCCAGAGCCATGGGCAGTCTGGCGTCACTGGCTGGCCTCTGTCCTTGCCACACGAGGCTCACCTCTCATTGTCCGTGTCAATGGGGACTCTGTTCTTCTCCCATGTGATCAGAGGCTTGGGCAACCCATGGATTTGGCACTGGAAGCGGGCCACGCCGCCCTCCTCACCCACGGTGGCTTGGGGGTGCACGTGGAAGTCAGACATGGCTGGGGGAAGAGAAGACCATGGTAAGGCACACTGCCAAGGCGCAGAGGGAGGAAGGGTGGACATGGATGGGTCAGGGTAGGTGACCACCCATACAGGTGGTGCTCACTCCTATGGGGGCATGGAGGTTTCTGGGCTGGTGAGACAGGGCAGCAGTGTGGGTGATGTGCCGGCACTTTTCATGGTTGAGACCCCCAAGAGGTGGCACAGGCTGGGCTGGGATGCTTTGAAAAGGTGGGATAAACACACAGATGACAGCTCTAACAAGGAGACGCTGGTCTGCAGGGGCTTCCTGGAGGCACTGATACCCCAGAATTACACACAAAGACCAGCCAGAGAGAGCACTGACCTCAAGCCTGCTCCCACCTCTTCAGCTGCTTTTGGACTTATTTTCATAAACTCCCCATGTGGGGTGCAAAGCCCTGAATATAATTTTTCAGAATTGGAAACCGAGGCCCAGAGAGGAGACCGATTAGTCCAACGTTGCCCAGCAGAGACACAGCAAAGTCGTCAGATCCCAGTTATGGGGTCCAGAAGGGTATTTTGTCCTTCCTTATCCTCCTTCACCCCCAGTTCTTCTGCAGTTTCTCCACATGCCCCAAGGGGGTGGTGTATCCATCCAAGGTGACAAGTCTCTCAGAAGACTGTCAAACCTACCAATCTACATTACAATGTGTCATAAATATTCAGAGCCCCCCCCCACCTTTGGGGGAATCTGAACTCGCTGCTTAAACCGGGGTCTGCAGAGGCCAGGGCAGAGGAGCTTTAGGGCAGAGGAGCTGAAGCGCCACCACCTGGCTCCCCAGTTTCAGGCTGGGTAAGTGTCCCTGCTGCCCCCAACCCCACCCATGCCCAAGCCCCTCCCAGTGGAGCCTGGGGAAGGGTGCCTCCCACACGGGTTCCCAGCTTCGGAGCCAGGGCTGTGGTTTCATTAAAATCCACTTTGCCTCAAGTGCGGAAGGCGGTGCACCATCTGTCCAGGCAGCAGCCCCGCCCCTYGGCACTCCATCAACTGGGACAGTCGCTCCCCTCCCAGGAGGAGCCCTCCCCCACGGCAGCAGGGACACTGGAGCCTGTTCCCTCGCTGGCCCTTGGCTCTCTGGTGTGGCAGCCCTCCCCGTGGCCCCCATGCCCTCCTGTCTCGGGTCCCCTCAGTCCACGGGCCTGGTCTGGACTCCAGGGCAGCCTGAAAGGCCAAGCCTTTGTGCCCTTCCATCCAGAGTCTCTGGGGGCTGGCTCCTTTGTGGCGCATTCTCCAYCTCATTTGCATGTGATTCATTAAATATAAACATGCATAAAAATCCCCCGCCCTGCCTCCTCCTCTTTGAGGGCCTCCTGGGAGTAGGCTGATGGGTGTGGGCGCCCCTTTGTGCGCGTGTGGGGCTGTGTCTTCCTGGGTGTGGTCTGAGTGTCCCCATCTGGATGGGGATGGGGGTTTGAATCTGTCAGCTCCTGTGGCTGCTGTGATTCTGACACTGTATACGTGATCTATCGTGTGTTTCCATGTGGCGTAGCTCTTACAGACAGGACCCTGAGACCACGAGGGTTTCGGGTTGCTGGACAAGCAGTCCAGCGGATACCCTGTCAGGCTGGGTGAGAAGATCCCCAGGGAGCACGGGAAGTCAGCCAGTCTTCTCTCAGGCCAGAAGCCTGCAGGTCAGTCCAGGGGCTTGAGGGAGGAGCTGAGGTGCTGTAGAGGCCTCCCCCCACCCCAAGTGCAGGGATGGACCTAGGCCTGGGGGGTAGGCAGAACCAACACCCAGGTTCCTGGGTCTGTAGTCTGTGCCCTCTGGGCCCTGCCCATTAGGGAACCAGGGAGTGGCCTGCCCCCTCCTCACTGCAGCTGGAGAGGAGCTCACAGCACCCCCCCACATACACCTGGGGCGGGAGCTAATGGCTCTGTGCTGACTACAGATGCCTCCTCATTAAGGAACCAGAATCCTTTTGTGCCTCTGGTCTCCACTCTGGGCTCCCTGGGGCACCCACAGCTAGGAGCTGGCCTGAGGAAAGACACATGGAAAGTACTGCTGTTCTTCAGGGTGCTGGGGTGGAGAAGTCTGGCCTCTACTGACCAGCCCACAGTCTTAGTCCCCCCGCCCCCCCCCCCCGGGACTAAACTACAGCTATAGCAGACAATGGCAGGGGCAGAATGTGATGCTGGGGAGGTCTAGTGGGGAGCCAGTCAGATATCCCTCACACTGGGTCCCCCGGAATCCCTGGGATGCAGCTGAGCCTCTCCCTGCCCACACTCCCCTTCCATCAGAGCAGCTCCTTGCTGTCCCTCCATCAGCTTTACTGGGTGGCAATTCTGAAGGGAAGTTTTGCCTTTAAAAGCCCTCGAAAACCACTCAAAAGCAAATCCCTTCATTCTACAAAGGGAAACTGAGCCCTGGGCCCTCTGCTGGGGTGTCCCTTAGTTATCACTTCCCAGCAGGTTTTTCTCTCTCCAGAGCAGGTAACAGCAGAGCAGACTACAAACTGAACTGGCCTCTTCTGACTGGTACTGAGAAGAAGGTACTGAGGCCTAGGGATAGTCCTCAGCCCCACCTCTGGGAGTCCACCTGGCCTCACAGGTGTCCTGGTCACCCAACCTCCCTTTTCTTTCCCTTCTTTAAATCCTTACCCTTCTTCTGGTCAGCCCTGCATATCCCTTAGGTGCCCCTGGGCTTGCTGGGAGGCCAGGGCATGCAGCATGAACAAAGGGATAGACACAGAGCCCTTCTGGGACCTTCCAGCTCTGCTTCCACCCTTCTTCACGAGTGGGCCGTGCCTGCGGCCACATGTTCTGGGCACTACTACTCATCTTAACTGGAGGCTTAGAATTTTCCTGGGTCACAAGCAATAGTATTTTTTCTTTGCAAAGTGAGGGGAGGAAAGGATCCACAGCTACTCAGGCCTGCTGCAGTCTCAGGGTGGAACACGTTCTGTCCACAAATCTATTCTTGCTCCAGCAGCATTAGGATCCTCATGGTCTCTCTCAGGGGAGACCCTGGACAGACATGAGAGGCTGGACAGACTGAGGGTTGGATCTCTGCGCACCCAGTGTGGATGAATGACTGTCAGTGACATTAGTGGTGTGGACATGTGGTGGTGCTGTGACTTTGTGGATATTTTATGCTCCTGCTGGCACTTGCTGGCCTGGTGGGGACAGTGCTGGGTCCCTCACTTCAAACTGGATGAAGGTAGTAATGGACAATGGCTGGGAGTCCTACCAGAGTGGAGGGCCTGAGATACCATAGGGAAAAGAAAGAAGAAAGCACCTTTGTCCCCAGGCAATCTGGGGAGGACTCTCCCAGCCCCTGCCATGGGTACAGCCAGGCTGTGAGAGAGACAGAGGGCAGAGAGTGAGAATAGCAATCGTTGGGTTGGGAGGGAGCAGAAACCGGCAGGAAACGGTTCCTGGACACCCCTATAAATCACCCCGAGGGGAGAGGTCTCTTGAGAGCCTGATCCAGGGCCACTCAGGGAGGGGAGGGGGCACTTTCCTCCTGGTCCAGGACCTCTGGCAAGGTCAGGCCTGGATCTGATTAGACAGGCTCCAGGGGGAGGCAGGGGGCAGTGCAGGGTCGAGGCAGAGTGCTGGGAAGGAAACGGAGGCCTCCCACCCCTTGGTTACAGCCGACTCCTGTCCAGTGTGTGAGGCTAGAAAGAGCTGCAGGCATGTTTGCATGGAGCATTCCAACAGCCTTTGCCAAAGCTAGCAGCACTGGCAAAGTGGCACTGACTGCCTTCTTCTCATACAGCCATTCCAGAGGGCTGACTGTGTACCAGAGTCCTCTGAAAGTCCCTGAGGCCAGTCTCCTCCTAGTACCCACCCTACCAAGCAAGACATGCAGCCTTCTGAACACCCACTTCCTGCTCAGGCAGCTCCAGACACGTGCCTGGATCCCATACACCTCCTCCCATGGCCCCCAACTGTTTCCTCTAGAACCACATTTTCCAATAAGTTATTCTTCAGGATTCATGAAGGATTGGTTCCAGGGCCCTCTGCACAAAGCAAAATCTGTGGATGCCCAAGCCCCTTATATAAAATGGTGTAGTATTTGCATATAACCTACATGCATCCTATAGTACCCTCCAGTATACTTTAAACCATCTCTAGATTACCTGCAGTTACTAATACAATATAAATGCTATGAAAATAGTTGTAATACTATATTGTTTAGGGAATAATGCCAAGGAAAAAAGTCCATACATGTTCAGTACAGACGCTTTTTTTTTTTTTTTTGCAATGTTAAGGCTTGAATCCAGAGCCTTGCACATGGCAGACAAGTACTATCACAGAGCTCTATTTCTAGGCCTGCCTGCCTATTTATTTATTTAGAGACAGAGTGTTGCTGAGTTGTCCAGACTGGCCTCAAATTTGTGATCCTCCTGCCTTGACCTCCCAAGTGGCTGGGATTATAGAGGTTTACCATCAAGTCCAGCTGCAATTTTTTTCAGTGCTGGGAATTGAACCTAAGGCCTTATACATGCTAGGCAAGAGCTCTACCACTGAGTTACAACCCCAGCCCATTGAATCTGAGGATTCAGAACCTGCATATATGGAGAGCTCACTATCTAGTAGCCAGCGATGAAGCACTTGATGTGGCCAATGCAAATAGAGAAGGGCTTTAAGTATAAAATACACACTAGAATTTGAAGCAAAAAAAAAACCACAAAAAAACAGACACTAATATTTAGGGAAATGTAAAACAAAACGTATAGAGGACACCATCTCAAACCCATTAGAATGGATACCATAAGAATGTAGAAAATAAGCCCAGCATGGTGGCACACACCTATAATCCCACCAAATCAGTAGGCTGAGGAGGAGGATCACAAGCCAGCCTCAGCAATTTAGCAAGGCCCTAAGCAACTTAGTGAAACCCTGTCTCAAAATAAAAAATAAAAAGGGCTGGGGATGTGGCTCAGTGGTTAAGTGCCCCTGGGTTTAATCCCCAGTACTAAAAGAAAGAGAGAATGTAGAAAATAAGCTGGGTTCTGGACACACACCTGTAGT